CGTGGCTCCCAGATTGAACCAAAGTGTTGTCACACTGTAAGTTGGTGATGCGTTGGTACTCATCAGCGATAGCATCGAGTGTCAGTGTTGGGTCTTGTTCGAGGCGGTTAAGCAATCGAGTTCTGATGTCGGAGAATTTGGGTGATTGTAGACTGCATATGAATATGAGTGATTTGAATTGGTCATCAGTAAGGGATCTGTGTTTGAACCGTTCATACTCGCGGTTGACAATACCAACATGAGTCAAGAAGTCATCGGACTCATTCATGACTAGTTTTAAACAACGATAACGTGTATTGAAAATAGAATGCTGATCCCCAAAAAGTTTGCTCAGGGACTGAACCGTAGCATCGAATGATCGGTCACGCGGGTTCTGCGGTAGGATGAAGTTGCGATACTTGTCCAGTTCTGACGGACCAAGTTTTCGAAGGAGAAGACGCACCTTCCAGGAATCATCTTTGTCAGCAAAATCAACTTTGAAAAGATCTTCATAACGCATGAACCAAGTATCAAATGTTGGCGTCAGGATCATACAGAAACTCAGAAATACTACTGGTCATACCATCAACTGACTGAGGAATTGTTGGTGTAGATGAGACTTGAGAAGAGATGTGCGTCTGAGTAAGCATCTCCATCAGCTTCAGCTGCTGTGCAAACAATTTTTCTAATGTAGCTGGATCCATAATTAGTCACCAACCCGTCGCCAAATTTGTTGTAAACGCGGCTACGTAAATCTTCAGTCCTAACGGCGTCCAATTCAAATATCACAATACGACCCAAACGGCTTTTCCCAATCTCCTAGAAATCAGAACGTAACACCGTGGAAGGAAGATGTTTATTGGGTCGAAAACAGAAGAAGAAGTAGGCGGGGGAAACGGAGTTATTAAGTCTTCCAGATAGCGCGTATTCATACACTAAGGTCGAATAAGAAAAAGCATCAACGTCCGTGACATTGACAAATTAGGACGACCAATAGAAAAGAACATTTGAATGACATTGACTGTCCAGATGACCAATAAAAGATAACATTGAAGTATTTGACCCTGACGGTAAGAACGATCATAATTTCGGCCAATAGAATTCGACCAATAGGATTGCACTTCTAAAAATAGTATTCTTAGGATATTTGGTGAATATCCTAACAATAGGTTATATCCATATTGAAAACGCGTAGGCGTACTGCTGTAAGTCCTATTCGTTATTTCGGTGTGGATTAGGGAATGAGAGTGAACCCTAACTTGAAGTGTCAGTAAACGCTTGCTTTTTGCATGGAGGGATTTTGCGGGCCGGTGTAGAATCTTTTTTGAATGTTTTGTTTTTTGGAAAATCCCTCCATGTATATATATTTGTGTTATGATATGACTGACTCTTTCTGTTGATATTTTGGTATTTTATTTGATTCCATTTTGAGATTTTATCATTGTATATTGTTATTATTTCTATATTTTGTACTTATATTGAAGTTTTTATGTTTGCTTCTGAACTGTACACATGTTGTTTAAATTTGATATATAATATGGCTACAGCCATATTTGGATTTGATATCGTTGCAGTTAATACTAGCATCACCTATTCTTTTGAACTCGGATACTCATCAGAGTAATTTCGACTTGGAAGGTGTAATAATTGTCAGGTAAATGTTTGTATTTCCATTTTTTTTATATAAATAGACCACTTTCTCCTAGAATTATTGTGTTCTGATATTAGACTAAGGGAGGGTGCGTTCGACCTACACCTATTGGAATCAAATTGAACTGCCACGGTAGAAAATTCTTCTACAGCTACCACCTCAGGTACTATCCTTTGCGAAAACTCTACTGGTTTTCGCCGGCACACTGTACCTTCTGCTTATCGTCGTCTCGTCTTTGGCGCCGTTCATGGATTGTCTCATCCAGTTATCGCAACCACTTTATGTCTCAACGCTGCTCGATACGTCTGGCCGTCTATGAATAAAAGATGTCCGTATGTGGGTAATGCGATGCTCACAATGTCAACAATCAAAAGTGCACAGGCAGGTAGACACGCGTATCGGCAAATCTGATACGCCTGGTGCTCGCTTTGATCATGTTCATATTGTCATTGTAGGGCCACTGCCACCATCACATGGGTATGATCGAATACTCACGAGTATCGATCGTTTCACAAGATGGATGGCCAAAGCTATTCCCATCACTTCTGCTGCAGCGGCTTCGTAGAACGATGGATAGCGCTTTACGGTTGCCCCTCAACTGTCACAACTGACCGAAGGCAACAGTCTGAGTCCGGATTATTCACCTCGCTAACCCGGCTGCTTCGTACGAAGCGCATACTCACTACCGCGCATCAGGTTGTTTTACATAGATGTTCGAGGAAAAGATATTTCCATCTTTCTGGGTAGTCGAGAGTCTGTTTTCATCTAAAGGGTCGCCGAGTGAAGCTTCTTTGTATATTTTCTACTCCTATCTTATCAATGATTTCCCCTCTTACAAAAGATAAGTGAGCGGTATTCAAGAGAGGCTCTTATACGTATTTGAAGGTTATTAGCCTATCCTCATTTGTCAAGAAAGCCTTATTTTTAAACGCGAAAGGCTGTCTAGATTTGGAGATAACAGGATAGGCTCGTTCTTCAAATTTCAGGCTTCCGGAGTATTGAATACACAGATCATGTGGTGGTATGAGTGTCTGAACCCTACATTTATCTGTTGTGGTCATGTGACCAAATGACTGCGACTAGGATATGTCTACCAAAGCTAGTGATGCCATCTTACATGTGTAAGTTCCACATAGCTGTTTATTCGGGAGGCTTATTCAGTGCTGTAGTAGTAACAAATGAACTCAGTTCTGAGATTGCCTTATACAATTCAATCGGTTATAGCTGCGACCAGAGAGAATATAAAAATTTGTAGATACCACAGTGAGAGAAGGATACACCAAAATTATAACAAGAAGTGACATAACAATCCAAAACTCTGGTCCTTGACGAGGGTAGAAGATTGCTCGATGTACATTGACTGATCTGTCGAATGATTAGTCTACACAATGAGCTGAGACAAAAGGTTGTTGCGACACAGTAATAATTTGGTGCGACGCTGAATGATAACCTTATAAGAATAGTAGTGAAGTTATATGAATCTTGTGACGAAATTATAAGCCACATATCATGAGTGTAGACTATCACATTCGAGAAAATGTTCATCAGCCAAAGACTTATTGAAGTGGTCGTCACAAGTTCAATTTGAAATGCAAACAATGTAAGCAAAAGAAATTTTTCAATATGGAATAATATCTGTACAGGCACTGGGCAATGAAATAAAACAGTGACTAATACAGTTTTGTATACGGAATCAGAGGTTCAAAAACTTGTAAACTGTACATAAACTGTACAAACTAGAGATGGCCGAGATCTTCAACATTAACTTTTCTGATCAATTAACCAGGCGTCAACATGTTCAGAGTACTGCGCCAACCCATTGCCAGTAGACTGCTTTAGGAAGAGACTTGATAATCACGTACTCATATCCTGATTATCATCTCACTCTTGGACAAGTTGTTCATGATGCATATATTGATACCTACTAGTTTCTGTCATTGCCACCTCCTCAGATCACTTACTTAGTCTTTCTCGCCTCTCAACTCTGCTTCCTCCCCCTTGCTTACACTTCTGTCCTCTCTCACAGTCTTCACTACCAATTAACAAACTAAATTCATCTGTATATTACTCAGTTCTGAAATTTTATTCATATTAGCATTGGAATTTTATCCTTATTACCTTTATTACTCTCCACATTGCAACTAACTGATCTCCGGTCTGGTAATGTGACGGCTGCTTGTATCCAGAAACCCTACTGCCCTGAAACAAACGTTTTCATTCAAATCCCGAGACGTACAAACTCACAAACTGCCAACTGAATAGAATTAGACAGTCGAGTGGCTAGACCTCCATCCACTGGACCTTACCGAACACCCGAAATCGTACCAAAAGAACAAGAATCGAGGGCAAAGAGATCAAAATGGTTTACACTAGTTCGTGCAAAAGATATTGGATATTGGAAATGCATCACTTTCGAAGTGTTGCGTTACTTCTGTTTTATGTAAGAATTATGCGAAGCCTATCATCTCTCACCCGTACAACTCCAAGTTTTTATTATGAATTTTTCTCGACCATTTATTTTTCGCTCATCTTTATCATCTGCTTTGACTGTCAAATGTGAGTAGTTTATGTTTCGAATGAGTCATGGTCTCACCTCTTCTGTACCTCTCTTGTAGAAATAGAGAAAGTGGTAGATTTTTGCTAAAAACAAGAGAAAACGCAAATCAAACTGACGAGTTTAACATGATTTACTCCTGAGTGATTTCTAGTTTTCATTACGATCTCACATCGTCTATCATTCTTAAATACATCGTAGCTATGTACACGAACGAATTTCGCGGCTGAATTTGTCCGTATATACTTAACGCAGTCTGTTTAACTAAAGATCTCACCACAGTGCATAATATGCCCATTTACTTGTCGTCCAGACATCCTGAGACATGTACTTGTTGCCCTAAATTACTTTTAATACGAAATATGAAAATTCAATTCCTAAACAGCCGTTTATATTCTAATACTTTATAAACTTAGGAGTACCTACGGTGATTTAAGTTATCATACAATAATTTGGAATCTTTTACGTGTAGTAGAACGTAAAACTGGTTACCAGTAATGACGTAATATCCCCGTTATAGTATATCTTGCTCCGACATCTAATTCCTGTGATTTTTTTACTATGCAGCTTTTTGAAATAACGTGTACATTTGCGGTTTTCAGTAGATTAGTTTGTTCTATGTTCATCTCAGAACATGACTTATTATGTATATGTCCTTAAATGTTTCTGTTTACATGGTTTCAGTCTTTCAAAGCAGAGCTAATACGCACCGGTGACTAGATATTCAAAGCACTGCAAATCCTAAGGGTTGATATAAGCAACATATTCTGGTGTCATACAACAAAAGACTACGTTTGTTTTCGATTCATAATCTACATGAATTTACCTGCTGTACTAAAGGTAATTACGTTCATATGTATTAAAGTTTTTTAGTCTAGTTTGCAGCTCCCTGTTGCTGGATTTACGGTCAATGTTGTCCAGATAGAGTTTTCTGATCATTTAATGATACTTATTTCGCGCAACGGGATGATTGGAGATATTGTAAATCACATATTTGATTTATTCTTCTTCTAGGTATTGTCCCAAAAGAGTAATATACCGACACTAAATGGTCATATTTCTCACGATCATGATGCTAGGACTCTGTTTGGCCCTGAAAAAGTAAGCTTTATAGTTATTTGCACACTTGTGTTCCTTTGGTAAAGAGTTTGAAACGTTATGTGCTGTAATGTACACTTCTTTACATGTTTTGCTCATGTTTATAGAAATTAAGAAGTTAATAAACTTAAAAATGTACTTTCTCAGTCAAGAGATTAGACATAGGGATTCATTCGTTAAGATTGATTTTATCACATCGCTCTCCACTTCTCGATAGTTCGATACGCACTTTTTGTGATAGCTTTTACATGTATTCGGTAGGATAATTCGTATTTCTTAGTTGCTGAAACTCCCCTATTATTAGTGTGTTAGTTCATATTTCAGTCAGTCAGATGCAGTGTAGAACTTTGTACATAAATACATCAGTTCATGTTGCCATACCACATCAGCACAGAGAAGTAATCGTCAATTCAAATCCAATAGTGGAAGAGGTAGTAAGGGAATTAGAAGTAGACGGAGAGGTTAGGATTAGAAGATATTATTCGAGAAATATGATTCAGTGAGAAAAGTTTAGAAAGTAAAAACTAGAGGGGTTGAAGAATCCAGAAGATTAGCATTTGGGAGAACACAGAGAATAAATGCACCGGCGCCATTGCGAACGATTTTGAGCCATGTCATTCAAGGTCTCTAACCATCGATTATTATCATCTCGCGGACCCCAACCAGGTAGTCGACAATTACCGACATGGCTCAGTCCACTAGTCAATGACTTCATGGATTTCTGCCATGTTTTGGTTTGGCCGCCCCTAACTTTCTTCCAACCTATTCCTACACTACAAAACAAAGCTCGACGAGGCAGTCGCTGGTTAGGCATACGCAACACGTGTCCCAACCACCTCAACTGATGAAGTTTCACCACTTCATCGATTGATCTGCCATTCTTACCTAGTACCCGTTTCCTAATAACAGCGTTGCTCACTCGGGTGTCCCACGATATACGAGCAATGCTTCGAAGACACCTATGATCGAAAACCAGTAACCTACGAATATCTTCTACTCTCACTGGCCATGTTTCACAGCCATAAAGTAAGACGGAGCGAACCACTGCGCAGTACACTCGTCCTTTAGTCAGCTAACGGATATCTCGCCTACGCCATAAGTGACGCAGGTTGGCAAAAGCCAATCGAGCTTTCTGTATCCGTGCTGAGATTTCGTCAGTCACCAGGCCATCGGCACTGATGAGACTCCCAAGATAAGTGAAGCGGTCTACACGCTCGACTACTTCACTCCTTATCACTAGTTCAGGTGCCGATGCAACCCAGTCTTGAAGCAACATTTTGCATTTCGAGGGGGAAAACCGCATCCCGAACATGCTTGCATTGTTGCTTAGGGTAGTCAGAAGACTCTGCATTTTGTCAGCGTCTTCACCAAGTAGGACAATGTCATCGGCATATTCTAAGTCAATAAGCGAGCCACCTGGTAGAAGGTCTACTCCTGAAAATTCAGACGAGGATAAGGTTATGTCTAGGAGCATGTCTATGATAAAATTAAACAAGAATGGACAGAGTGGACATCCCTGACGGACACCACTTGATGTAGAGAATTCCAGTGACAGTTCGCCATAAGCTCTCACCCGACCAGCGGTGTTCGAGTAGAGAGCTTGTATGAGGTTAATGTACTTCTTTGGTACACCTCTCAATGACAGACACTGCTACAGAACCTCACGAACCACTGAGTCAAATGCCGATTTCAGGTCCAGGAACACAACTATTGTCGGACGTCTGTGTTCCAGGACCTGTCGTAGTGTGAAGATGTGGTCTATGCAACCACGTCCAGGTCGAAAACCAGCCTGGTTTTGTTGAGTCTGCTCTTCACGAGCACTAGTTAGACGTCTAAGTATAATGGAGGCTAACAATTTAGAAACTATATTAGTTAAACTTATTCCCTTGTGATTGTCACAAGAGGACTTTTGTCCTTTCTTGTCGATTGGGACAATTATCGACTGAGACCAGTCAGATGGAATTACGTCCAGTTCCCAGATTCTACCTAAGATCTCAGTCACTCTAGCTGCTGAAGCTGAACCACCATCCTTAAAAATCTCAGGTGTCAATCTATCAGGACCCGCAGCTCGTCCTCGCTTCAGATTTCCTATAGCTTTCTCAACTTCATAAAGATTAGGGGGACTTACGTCGATTAGCCATTCAGGATGACTGGGGATCGTGGGTAACCGAAGAGTGGCTCGAGGTCAGTTGAGCTGATCCCTAAAGTGTTCTGCCCATCGATCCAGTCTCCTGGATTGAGAATGGATAATAATCCCATCCTTTTCCGAGATAGTCTCACTCACATTCGGGTTCTTGATACCAGTTTCTTTAATATGGCGGAAAAGTTGTCTACTGTTGCCTATCGCCGCTGCCTTTTCCATCGCTTTTGCTTTCGCCACCCACCACTGTTCGCGGTCGTTACGCAGACTTTTTATAAGTCTGCGCCTAAGTTGACTTCGCTCTTCATCGTGCTCAGAGTCAGGTGGGATGCGTTTTCGAGCATCCATCAGTTCGGTGGATGCGACTGAAATCCACGGCTTCATCCTAGCCTCATGGTTTACCTTACTAGTAGATATCACTGCTGTTTCCACAGCCTTTTTGATATCATACCAACCTGCTTCTGGATGGGAATCGCTTGCATGGTTGCTTAACTCTCTTTCTAGTTGCTCCTGAAATATTTTCTTAGTTTAATTATCATTAAGTAAAACCCTAAGAGGCTTCCTTACGGTGTCTTTCCTACGTCCAGTAAGCCTCAAACAGATACGAGCTCGCACTAGAGCATGATCTGAATCCAAACATGTGCCCCAGAACGAGCGACAGTCTTCTGTCGAACCCCTACATCGGTGGCTGATGGCGATGTGATCTAGTCGAGTCCAACGTTGAGACGACTTCGGGGGTCGCCAGGTCAACAGATGCTTTTCCTTATGCCTAAAGTTGGTGTTCGCTAAGAATAGGCGGTTGTCTGAGCACAGTTGCAACAGACGGTCGCCATTGTCTGTTCTCTCAGTCGCTACACCATAACATCCACCAAGATGTCTTTCCTTTTCACCTAGTCTACCTACTTGAGCATTAAAGTCACCAGCCATTATTACTATATCAGAGCGCCTAGCTTTTTGGAGGAGGTCCGAAAGCTTTCTGTAAAACTCATCTTTAACCTCGTCTGCACTGCAGTCAGTGGGGGCATAGGCAGATATGACAAAGAGGCAACGGCGAGTGTCCCTATCCTTCCGAGTCCTTACTGTCCCGTTTAGTCGGACAGCGCACAAACGACTATCTACTGGGATCCAGTCTAGGAGAGATAATTCTGCCCTAGGACTCAACGCTATGCCTACGCCAGCAAGACCCCGGGAAGCAGCATCCGGGCTACCGGATACACGAAGAGTAAATCGAGCTGCTTCTTCGTTTTGACAAGGTGGAATCAGGTTAATGACTTTACTAGGATCCTGTATGCGCGTTTCCGAGACGCAGCATACATCGATGGCACGAGTTTCTAAAGTCCTAGCTAATGATGCCTGTTGCCCTATTTGACACAATGTCCGTACATTAAAAGCTCCAATATGTAGTCTAGAACGGGGTTTCAAGAGACCAGGAACGACGTTTCGTGATCTCGCTTCGTCTGCATTAGCGGTGCAGTAAGAAAAGGGAGTGTGAGTAGAGTTAGTCGTAGAGATAAGAGAGACATTAGGGGGTGTAGGAAGGATTTGATTTTGACCAATTTGGTCTCGCGTGCTGTTACGGGTATGAGGGCGGTTGTCACTTCCCGGCTGCCCACATCGTGGAAGGTTGTTTCTTGAGGGACCTGAAAAGGAAGATGGATTAGTGTTGGTGCGTGACCGCAGAGCCCGAGGGACAACTGCTTGAGGCCGGTCATGCACGGCCTTTTTATGAAAGGTATTTAGAGGATTAGCTCCGTTCTTAAAGGCCCTTAGTGGGCACCCTTACCACCGGAAACGGAAATCCTTGAGGTGAAGCGAGGTGTGACAGTTTTTGGGGTCGACGTTTTCTAACCCTTCCTTCCTTGTGAGAAGGCAGCATCGCTGCAGATGCTGGTTGTCCGAGGGAAACACCTTACTGCTGTCACACCCCTCTGCAGTCAGCAGTACGACTTCGCCCTCAGACCTTGGGTAGCTGCTTTTAGTCTCATCGTTCTCCAATCGACCTGCCTGGCATGGTAGGACCTGCAGGAACATATGTTCCAGCCAGTATAGCTCGGTTGGGTCATCACGATAGGCAAGCCGGACCACCACGTCAAGGTAGCAGCTTCGGTCGGGAGTTCATATTTAGAACTTGTTCCTTCCATTTTATAATTTAAAAAAGTAACCTAACGTCTATGAATAAAACTCCAGTACCCTTTTACACTGCAAGTTCCTGTGAAACATTTGGGTTTAACAAAACTTCACGTTTGGCAAACTAGCTGAAAATTCCTTACCGTAGCTGCTACCTTGACGTGGTGGTCCGGCTTGCCTATCGTAATGACCCAACCGAACTATATTGGCTAGAACATATGTTCCTACAGATTCTATCATGCCAGGCAGGTCGATTGGAGAACGATGAGACTAAAAGCAGCTACTCAAGATCTGAGGGCGACGTCGTACTGCTGACTGTAGAGAGGTGTGACAGCATTAAGGTGTTTCTGTCGGTCAGCCTGCATCTGCAGCGATGCTGCCTTCTCACAAGGAAAGGACGAGTTAGAAAACGTCGACCCCAAAAACTGTCACACCTTGCTTCACCTCAAGGATTTCCGTTTCCGGTGGTAAGGCCTTTTAAACAAGATGGAAGCTAACACTTTAAAAACTCATAAAAAAGGCCGTGCGTAACCGGCCTCAAGCAGTTGTCCCTTGGGCTCTGTGGTTTTCTAACACCAACACTAATCTACCTTCCTTTCAGGTTCTTCAAGAAACACCCATGGTGTGGGCAGACGGAAAGTGACAACCGCCCTCATACCCGTAACAACACGTCGAAAATTCTGTTTGCTCTTTTTGCAGCTAATTTTAGCTGTATAAAGCCTAAAACAATTTTAATGAAATAGTGGTTTTAGTTATTGAAATTGTAAATCGATCAATGCCAGACCACCATTAGAAACGTAGGAGCACTGGACGGCGGTTCCGTCCTAGTACGGGACTCATCAGCATTGAGCATCTATGAGCCCTGCTCACAGAATCGAACTCGGGATCTGCGGCTAAGTGTTTGCAAGCGAGGTTCGTGGACAAGCACTGCTGATGAGTTGAGTACTATGGCGAAATGGCCTTCAAGGTTTCTGATGGTAGTCTTACAATATTGATTTACGATTTCAATGAAACTCAACTATCTCCAGAACGTATAATGAAGATTCTATATATATGTTATTTTAGTTTAGCCCATAGATTAATTTCAATAATTAATTAATTTCAATACAATGTAAAATTTATTCTCTAACATAATAAATTGTTTTTAAGTTACCTAAAAATTCCTCTATCTCATTGATTTTTACAGATGAATACTTCTCTTATCGCAAGACAGATCACTAAAACTTTGGACACTTCAAAAACAGTACTTGTTAGTACGGACTTTAAGGAAGATATTTGTTTCAGTGATACTCAATTAATCTGTGATGTTTTAAAAAATACAAGATCTACATAACTTAATGACCTTAATTTTGCTTAATGTATATCATCAGTTACTTATGTATGTGTACAGATCTTATTGCTCTTTAGTTTTCACGATTTTTCAAGAAACGTTATGTTACTAGTTTCGTGAGTTTTGCTGAAAATCAAGTACTTATACCATATATTTTTAAATTGTCGTGAAATACGCATTGTTAGCCTCACTCCAAATAATCATTATTAGAATTCAGTCAGTCAGACGCAGCGTAGAAATTGGTACGTGCATAATTCAGTCCAGGTTGCTATTATCCCGTTACTACGAACTTTTCAATCGAAATCCGTAATGTCCATGTTTCACGCCCGTAAAGTAAAACAGAGCAAACAGCTGCGCTGTGAACTTTTCCTCTGGTTAGCAGACAGATATCTCTCTTATACCACAAGTAACGCTAGTTGACAAAAGCCATTCGAGCCTTGTGTATCCATACCGAGATTCCGTCAGATACCAGACCATCAGGACTGATGGAACTCCGAAGATAAGTGAAGCGAATGACACGCTCAACTACACCACTTCCTATCGCAGGCCACTTCTCAAGATACGTTTTGCTTTTGGAGGGAGAGAATTCGAACTTAATCTTGCCGGCATTGTTGCTTCAGATGGTCAGAATACTGCATTTTGCCAGCGTCTTCACCAAACATAATTATATCATCTGCGTATTCTAAGTCGTAAATCGGTTTGAAGGTCAACTCCCAAAAAGTCAGGTGATGAAAGTGTCATCTTTAAAAGCATGTCTGTGACAAAGTTAGATAGGAGTGGGGAAAGTAGACAATCCTAACGAACACCAACTGAAGAAATCCATTCCGATGAGAGTTCACTACAATCTTTACTTCGTCCAATAGTCTTCCAGGAAAGTGTCTACCGAATTACATACAAGCATTCTACTGCTCGTATCTATCCCCTTCTATCTGGTTTCTTCATTCCTCAAACATGTATTTCATAATTTGTATGTTATGTAGTCTAATATTGAGTGCTGTTTGAATTCTATAAACCAAGTTACAATATTTCAATACCTTAACTCATTTTTGGTGTTAGGAAGTCGAAAACAAACTTCAAGAAGTCTTGAGCTAAAATATTTGGTCTAATGATTTTGTTAGCTGACTTAGTTAATAAGTTTAGCTCGAGAACTTCATTTTTAAGAAAAAGACTCACTGTATACAAAAATATGTTTTTTATCACGGTTACAATAAAATACAATGCTCAAAATGAATACATTGAAGTAACCATTATGATGTTAATCAAGTTAGTAATGATTATGACAACTCAATATGATTACTGTAACATGCTAAAATAGTACATGAAATCTTCAAGATTAGAGGCTTTTCCATTGATTTTACCCAATAAGTAAATAGTCACTAGGATAATTTCTACAATGTAACGTTTAAAATTGTATATAAAAAGAAACAATAGGTAGAAAGCAATTAAACTTTACGGTAGTCCATCACGAAATGCTTTAGTTTTAACATGATATGTTTATATATATATATATATATATATATATATATATATATATATTTATCGGTAAATGCATACATAGAATAAGTGTTATTTATTAGACTGTGTTACACGGAGTTACTGGTACAACCACTGATATTTCATTTGATACAATAGTAACTTCTTCAATACCGGTTGTGTTTGAAATTGATCCAATTGGTAAGATGGCTGGTGCATTGTTTTCTTTTCGTTTCCCCTCTTCATCTTTTGTTCGTACTGTATTGTCTTCATCTTTATAAGCTGGATTTATTACAGATTCCATTCCATCATTGTTGTGTTTAGTTCTGATCAATTTGATACGTTTAAAAATGTTACGAAATACACCTTTACTTAAACCTGCTGAAGTGAAATGCTTATCTCCAGCATGTGGTAAAAATATACTGAATATAAATCCAATCAGTCCAATAGCTGAAAATATTAAAACGGCACCTAAAGCAGATACACTTTGTAAAAATACTTGTCCTAAATAAGGTGATGTTAATACACCAATACGAAAACATGTTGACATAACACCAAATACAAAACTTCTTATATGTGGTACATATAAACCTGTAATGTAAATTGCAGTTGCATTATTACCAGCGGATGCTACAGCTCGTGTTGCAAAAAAGAAGAAACGTAATATATTTGGCGGCATACAAAAAGCCTGAAATTGGTTTTAGAGAAAATAGAAAATATGTTTTAGTTGCATTAAATTAAGTACTTTTAAGTAGGTTAAAACAATACGCAATCGATATGTATTAAAAAGCAATATTTATTTGTTTTTGTTGGAGCTCCCCAGAAGCGTTGTACTATTATAGGATTGAACCTGTAAATTTCCGGTACACTAGTGTGAACTGCAGTGTTCAGTTTTTGAATTAGTTCACAAGATTGCACAGTAGCTTTGTAATTTCTGATAACGAATTAGCTTACCGAATAAATGATGTATAGTCTTGGTTAGTTTTTAGTCAGTTGATGTTTTAGGTAAAGGATATCCACTTTAACTAACTTGGAACTTTAAATCCACATTTCACAGATAAGTGCAAAAGTACAGTTCGAAATCTTAGTTTTCAGTATAAATGTTTAACACTTTTACTACTTAATCATTATATATACTAGTATTTCAAAATCAGGGGGAATTGACGAGTTTCTTTATTATTTCTGAGATAACAGATATTATTGTAGTATTCCGGAAAACGTCTCAGTTAGTAAGTGAAGACACGGACATGTTACTATACTCACATAAGGAAACACCTGATGGCAGCTTCTATCTTGACCTAGTGGTCGAGAGTACATACCGTGATGACAGTGAAATTGTACTAATCGGAAAGTTAACTTATTTGCGTCCTATTATACGGAGCATCTTGTTTGGAAAACGGTAATACTGAAGTCGTTAAACTTTTGGTCCGAGAATAAAGTCGTAATCATGACGGTACAGGGGTGTGATAGCAGTTTGATGTTTTCATCAGATGACCAGCTGCTTTAGCACTGCACCTTCCTATGAGTAGAACTACGGGATCTTGAAAGTGTACACCTCAAAACAGCACATCCCACATTGTCCCGCGAATTTCCGCAAGGAAGGTCTTAAAAGCTCTAAATTAGCTTGAGAAATGTATTGTGTGACCATCTTCGAGCGTTTGTCCCTCGGGAAGTGATTTAAAACAGCTCTTATCCCAGTTTCCTTACCACTTATCTCGAGAAGCATTTTTTCACGATGAGGGCGACTGAAAACCGATAACTGGGCTTAATTCTTAGTTGCGTATTTGTATACAACGTGATCTGTAGACTGTATCAAATGAGTGCTCAGACTAGAGTTGGATCTGAAGTTAAGTCTTAGTTATCCTACCGGTCGTATTGCTCCGTACCTAGTATGTAGCTTTCCAGCGATGGGACCAAACTAAATTCAAATGTAAATCTTCAAGTTACTACGTTATAACGAATGTCTACATAATGGTATTTACGTTTTATATAAACGTATGACATTCACAAGTGTACATATCTGCTAAGCTGGAGGATATTGAGAATCATAATTGGCAAGATGAAATATTACAGAAAAGGGATCTTGAAAACACTTGATGAATCATACAATCGCAATGTGCAGCAAATTCAAACTATCTATTTTAAGTACTTTTCTGAGTTTAACAGTTAGTTTCTAGGAAATGTTAATCTATTTGCTTCAAACATACTACTTAATAATATAAAGTAGTTTGATAAATATTTAATCATTTAGCGAAGATATGTGTAGAAGTCGAAATTCCTTCGTCAAAACGAACTACATATTCTACGTTTTTGTTCATTTTATTATAGCAAATAATCTTGTTTTGGTGCGATTTATCCGAATTTATTTTAATTGTATGATTTTTTATTTCAACGAGTTTTTTCTAATTTTATGAACTACTTAAATTTCCCCCAGAAAAAGGCATTTACAATCAGCAATATGAGTTATCATATCACTCATTTCAACCGGAAACTTTCATTTTGAATTTAATTGTAACTGCATAAGTAATGCCGCAAAATCTTATGACTTTCGGTTTATGAAACCGTAGTATGTATATTACTTTGTTTCATATATACTCTGATAGTATGCAAGTTATATTCATCAAAAGCTTAACATAGAGAACACGAAATAACCCTAACTGTTTATTGTAGATGTTGTCAGACTGCGGATTCTATCCTAAATATTCTATGTCAAGTAAGGACTAATAAAATACATTCAAACTTTTAGATGCTTGTTGGCAGTATCGTACGGTTATCATGATATTTGTTTAATCTAATTGCTTGTTATTTTATATTCCAACTGGACTTTACATTTTTATCTCTCTTCAGATAACTATTATTCTAGTCTCACTAAAATATCCCTGCTAAATGCTAAAAATATATATAATTTCTGTAGACACAGTTCGAGATTGTTTACAATAGAGTAAATTCATTCTCTGTACAGCATTGCCTTAGTACCTTAGGCATTTGACTGTAAAACACTGAAATCTAGATCTGTTATCTAATCTAACATACATAAAGTATATTAAACACAAGTATCTAAACTTTTAATCAACTAGTCAGTTTGAAGTCTACATTCGTTTCCAAAGTTGTTTTTTTTTAAATCCTGAACTATTATCATTTATGTTTTGGTTATTTCACATGCAGTCAATTACTTCTTGTTTGACGTCAATATCTTCGAAATGTAAAAAAAAATGAAAGGATCTATTTCAATAAGAGAAACTAATGGTCAACCTTATATGAATACCACATTTTGATTATAATTAATTTTAGACGATAGAGTTTTGTATCTCAGAAATGTACTGGATATAATCAGTTATCACCCCTTACACTGCAACAACATTCTGAATGTTTTATTTATAAATATTATTTCACTTATCAAATTTACTATCACTTTAGCATTATATTTCAATATCAACTAAGACTGTATCACACTCGTTAAATTTATTTAATAATCACTTCAAATAATTTATAAAAAGCTGTTTTTTTTTGTTGCTAATTAGCATAGAGTAACGCGAAACGGTTTGTCGAAGTCTCTAGCTTAGACCATAATAAACGTTGATTTTTCTATACGAAGTAATTAATAATTTAAATAAATGTCTAGAGGTCTTTTTAGCACATTCAATTATGATATTGTTAACTTTTCTGAAACAAACTGGTATCAGTATCTTCAAGTAATATTTTTTAAATGAGAATGATACACTATAATTCTATTAATCATATAAACTAAGTGTTCTATTCATACTTCTTAAAACTACCAATCGGTCGATTGATTTGTTTAAATAACCAGTCAAATCCGACCATAAGCGTGATCCATGTTGTCTGTTTAAATAAATAAGAATGAAAAGTTTGTATATCAATCAAAATAACCTCATGCAATGTAACAATTAGAGCAAGAAAAGAATACTCCTAGTTAAATTTATCAGTGACAAAAGAAACTATTCAATTTGTCTGACTGAATAACAATAAATTAAAAAAAAAATAAGTCATCAATCATTTCATATTGTAGGAAAATAAATACATCTATCTAACTCAACTAACTTACTTCAATAAATATTAGAAGAGCAGTTAAAAAGAAACAAATATTGATTGTCCATTTTCGTCCAATAGTTGTAATTAGAATTAATGCTATTGGAAAGCTGAGTATACTTCCTATCATAGATGATAATAAAGAAATATAACCTTCTTTTAACAATGGAACACAACAATCTTCATTGTGTATACCAGAATTTTCATAGATTTCATGTGGAACATCTGTTAAACCTTTATAAATGGACTGAAAAAAAAACAAAAAGAGGTAAAATCGAAAAACTATTATATGGCTTAGTTGAAAAACTCAGTACAGTTGAACACACAAAATATTTTGAGTATGTAAATCACTTTACTGATTGAAAGTTGCTTGAAAATATACTGTGATGAGTGATATATATTAGCAAATGGATCAGTTTGAATATTTAGTTAACTTTGTTAATAGTATGTTTAGTAAAAAGGTAGTCGTCATTCCCAATGATGACTAATTAAAATATTATTATAAAATTGTCGAGTACTTGGAGGAAGTTCGTTTTTAGTTTGAGACTATGTTGTCTGATAGAAAGGGGCTGAGAATTATGAGAATGATTCCATTAGACTTTTCGAATCACTATCTAGTGTTTCGTATCTCTCGCATCTGCTTAACATCATGTAGGGTTGTGAGTACACACTCCGGAGGTGCGATAAGTAAGAGCAAAACAGTTCATTGTTACCCATGGTTTAGTTGCTTATCGCCTAATATTCGGTAACTTGTAATCAGTTGTCGACCTAAGGTCAATCTCCTCAGTTTTAATGTTAGTAATATACATTTGCGTAGATCAATATACTTCGATCTGAATTATAAAAAACTACTTATGTATATTTTGTAGTAGTATACTTTAATCAATCAAAATAATAAATTTAATCTCAGAGAAATTCAAAAAACCTGGCTCAAATTAGAACCCATTTTAAAATTAAATTATGCCACAAGTAAACAAAATAAATTAATTTAATAAACTTCTGGTCATTGAAAAATAAATGCATAAAACTGTAAACAGTTCATAACTCTACATAATCAAAAACACAATCAAATATTTTACCAAAGTCCGTTTTCGACATTTTTACATTTTTAAAGCTAGTCGATTCATTCAACAATAATACTTATTGATTTTGGGCAAGTAATAAAGAAACTTACGAATAAAACAAATGAGGATATATGCCTGCAACTTTAGAAATTGTTTCGATCGATTTAGAATACAAAGCTTGTTGTTATAGCAACCCAGTTACTATACCAAACACTTGGGTAAAGTGTTCTTTTCAATGTATCATTTTTCATTAGTACAAATCTATCAGTCCTTTAGTAAGTGAGCCAATGAAATTTCTACTAACATTATTTTGCACACCATTATTTAAATTTTAATCAACTTAATTTGATTTTCTGGCATGTTCGGTCACAATTAGCCCATCTTAAAGGTCGAAAATGTCAAGCTATTTCCTTTAGTTTTACTAAGATTTCAAAGTCAGTTTACCTCAAAAATATGAGAAATAGTAGTAGTATTAAGCCTGTAAAGGAATTTTAAATTCTATGTTAGGTATGGATTCAAACTGTTGTAGTGATGAATTCAAAATATCTAAGACTGTTAGACAATTTAAAAATAACCTGATGTTTAACCTGAATCCTGATAACTATTAACTTGGATCTCTTTTAAACTTATAACCTAGAGCGATTAGATAGGATATGTCAGCTATTTCTTAAATAAAACCAATCAATACAACTGATCGTCAATCGACTAATGTTAGAAATGTAAATTATTGAATTCTATCTCAGTAGTGTCGAAGTCAGTAGCTTCCTGCAAAACCTCAAAGTTTTGAGATCCATTCCTGTTAAATACATGAACAGAGACTGCTGTGAAGCTTCATACCAGAAAGAAACAAACTTCTAGTTTCTATGGATTTTTAGAAGGTATCTAACTAAAATCACTAAGTTATATGAAGCTATAAAACTTGATAGACTCCATAAAATATTATATTGTAAAGTAAAGTATTTAGTGAGAAGAACTAGTTTTAAATTTCATATCTTATGTTAATATTATCTGAGAAAGATCCTTCCTCTTGATAATTACATTATTGTACTCTGTTATTAAAAGTACAATTTTTTAAAATGTAAACTAAGTTAATTATAATATTATTTTATTCATATTCATGATATTTTCTTATAAATAATTTACATTTGAGTCAAACTTGTATAAGATCTAATAACTAACACATAAAAAACACAACGACGATTAACATAAAAAAGTTCAAATGTTAAACGAGAAGATCAATGTGTTACACTTTTATCGCATCGCATTTTATAATATTCTAATTAGTATAGTGTGAATAGTCAATAAGAAAATACTTTTGAATTTATGAAAATCAAATGACCTAAATGGAAATGATACATGTAAGATTAATACTATTTTGTTTGCACAACTGTTGCTGTTGTTATGAATCATTTGTATTTCAGTTATTTCTAACATTGAATGTTAGCAAGCATTGTATCATTGTTAATTGGATAAGTACTTTTTATCAAAAATTAACTAGGTATCACTGAAAAACACATTGAAAGTCTATTTTAATCCATTTGTTAGTTATAAGTAATTAAAAAATCTCAACAAGAAGGTGTAGTTTCATTTAGACTTATGTTGAATTATGTATTTATCCTGTATTTACTTCGTCACGTTGTTATGACAATACTGGTAAACAATTTTGTTGGACAAAGCTTTTTTCCTCTGATAATAATAAAAATAAGCATATAGAAATGCATAGTATGTATGTTTAAAATAAGGTAAAAGTATCATATTTTGACGACCTTGAGCTATCTATCATCTAATGACGAAACGCTGCCTAGTTATGAACCAGTCAATAGCACAGAGCAAGAAAATCACAGTAGGATAATGGCTTTAATCGGAATATTTAACCATCATATGTCGAATTATTCCTTATAGTGAAGGAGGTTAATCTTACTTATCAGGAGTAGAGCTAGGTGTTATGAGTCAAAATTATCATCCTATTAAGTGTTTATCACCAACTATAATCCCAAATGGTTAGGATTAGTTATTAGAAGTTAAGCTGTAGTGTGGTGCGAGCTACTTATAAGTAGTATATGACGTGAGCGTCAACGTAATGTCTGGCAGCAGAAGATGGGGGAAGATCAAGAAAGGAAGAGTTAGAAAACAATCGAATTTGTATGAAACGCATGAATAGTGACAATGGATGGATGTTTTGCAACAGGAACAGTCCAGTTCGATATGATGAACTGATATTTTGCAAATGAACGATTTATGATCTGGCTTCCCGATTTTAATGAGTAACTCTGTAATTTTCGTCTAATACAATTCGGTTGCCCCACCTGTGTTCTCGTTCACTACAGTAGTTCTGAGTTCAGTTAACAAATCTAGGTTAGGGTTCCTATCAAGGAATGACATTAGTAGATATAATTCAATGTCTTGTCAATCGTCTGTTTACAAACTTGAGAAACACAGATTTAAAATATAAAGTAACATCTACTAGAGGAGAATACTAATTAATTTCATAAAATACTCTTTACTAGGCGCTAAATTACTATAGGTACTTAAGCACACACAATCTGCCTAAAAAACAGGTATCTTATGTAATTCAGGTTGAGTAGTATGTTAAACTAGCTTCTTAGTTTCATAATAGACATTTTCATTGATATTAGGACTCAATATCGCCAATTTTTACTTCGTTAATAATAACTTTCAAGTTGACTATCACTGGGTTTTGCGCAAATATATCAAGCGTTATGTTAACTCTAATTAGTTAACCAAACAGACAGACAGATACAACACAGAAGTTCGTACGTATGTACATCAGTTCATGTTGCCGTACCGCACTAACACAGAGACGCAACTGTCAGTTAAAATCCAATAGTGGTAGCGATAGTAGAAGTATTAGCAGTAATGGAGAAGATTGGGGTATAACTCAGTGCGATAAAGTTAGAAAGAGAAAGGTAGAGATGGCGAGGAATTCAGGTTAGAATTTGAGAGAACACAAGAGTGGATGCACCTGCGCACAGTGTCGTTAGCATATTTTAACAAAATTAAAACTATTTTGTCTGCTTAGTAAAGTACTAAGGCATAGCACATTAAATTAGCAGAATATGATCAATTCCAACTTCACTACAATCCTCATACTTAGCGACATTTTTTTCACGGACTACGTTCAATCGAACAATTGTGTATTTGTCTGTCTAGTAGATTATTCATAATCCCTCCAATGATACTGTTTAGTTCATGAAGTAGAAGTGCTTTGTAACTTACTCAGTAAAACATTTCAATTATTTTTATATATATATGTGATTTTCCATGTGAATATAAAAATGACAGATAAGTACCAAGGTGATATAATTTTGATTATATCACTGAAAAATGTTTTATTCAGTAAAACTCATAATTTTGTTTTAACTAATTATTTTGACTATTCAATACACTTAAATATTATCATCACACAGATAAATATAAATTTTGTTAATTTGTTATACAAAATTTTCATGTATACCTTTTTGAATATATTTTGATTTTCACAAGTTAATGTTGATAAGTTCAGTTTTTATTTATTTTTTTATTCAACATTATTTCACTAATAATTCAACTGAATATGTAATTTTATTTAAATAGTATGGAGTCAATTTAAACAAACTCATCCGATGACAATATACAATAAAAATAAACTAGCTACTACTTTCAACTATTTTTTTTATTATAATAAATATTTCTAGAATAAGTATCTTCATCACTCCTGGTACAGATTACATTATAAATATTTGGTAATAATATTTGTCAGTAACTTGATAATGAATGTTTTTCAATTGTGAAACTTCATCACTACTTAAAATACACCATAGGCAAGAAGATATGTATAAAAATGTCACATTGAAGTACCATTTATTTGGTGTAGGAAAATGCCTAACAAATATGAAATAAACTCATTACAAAATTACCAGCTCGAGATTCAGTGCTGAGTAACAATAGTACTAGGATAACTTTAGCCCAAAATAATGAAAATATGAGCTCCACAAACGTTGAATATAAATATAGTCATCTGGAATTTTCATTCAGCGAGTAAAGCGTTGTTATCTGAAATGGAAGGTATTGGGCTCGAGTCGGTATCTGAAAGTACATCCAGCTGACGATTCAGCTGACACAATGAAACTCAGTTCCTGGATATAACTACTAACACTACCCAATGTTGTTTTAAAATGCTTGT